CCTACGTAACTGGCGCTCTGCGCGCCACAATTGAACTGGTACACTTGTCGAATAAAAGGATATAGTTTGTGCGCACTGATTGGACGTGTCATGGGTCCATGGTGTTAAGAGATCAATCACCTGAGCAGCAAGAAAATGAATCAGGGAGACTGAGGGAACTCACCCAGAAGCCAGCATATCGCAGCGAGGATTCCAGGCACAGATAAAAACCTCGGACTTGTGACCCCGCAATACGGTGATCCGGTCTTGGGGAATGAGGTCTAGAGGACCATCAGGAGATCGCATGGAGGAGGATCGATCAAGTTCCATTGGATCACCGGGTCGGTGATTGGCTATATTACAGTAAAAAAAAACAAGATTGAAAGCATGTTTACGGTCACGTGTTGTCTAAAAAAGACGAATTGGATAACTATTCAGCCGAACATCTGCCATGCCGAAAATACTTCCTTGGGCAGATGAAGATGGTTGTTTGATAGGTAAATTCAGTGAAACGATGTTTAACAAAGATGAAGCCACTTGTGGATAGCCAGTTTTGTGATTAACGGTTCAAAGGCGGGCGATTCTGTTGTATAAGATTCAAAAGTGAATGGAACACGTAGCTAGCAAGATAAATGATCATTGCTTCTAGTCTCGTCTAATCCATTTGGGCCAGTTTGAATCGGTTCACGGAGTGGAATGGGGGGCAGGGTCGATCCTACGTTATCTCTCCTCATTAGAAATTGAGCGTGCTAAGTTACTATGGTGTCTTCAAACTCTAACTGAATAACTTGGTATTCAGGACCGTGCAGGGGGACGCTGTAGTAGCATCGTTTCAGTATGCTTGTTGTCACAGGAAAGACGAATTCTCAGTCAGTCTGTCAGTGTATTTGGGAAAAAAATAGGCTTACGCCTTTGAAAACCCTATTTGTCACATCGAAAGTTCAAGAATTAGAAACAATGTGAAGAAATTACACTCAGGTGAATTTAGACAGATTCACATCGTGCATTGTTATTTTCAGGTTAATTAGTCACATAGTTCACGTTCTACTGCAGCAGCGTATGGCTATCAAGTCGGTGTTTGAGTATAGCATACGCAGTGAGAAACCAGCACGTGCGTTGCACACGTCCGGAGCGGATTGCGCTAGGACAGTCACTAAGCCCCCAGTCACTTCAACTAGTTTTGACCTTGTTTTGCCATTAGAAAATTATGCGTACATGTGAGAGAAGGGCGACATTGATTATGCAAATGCTTGTCTCGCCGCAATTGAATTCACGCACAAGTTACTAGTACTGCACCGGGAATACTGGTAGTTCCTACATAAGACCAATGATTATATGTAGGATCGAGTAAGACTCAGATTTTTGCTTTGCCTAATGGGTGAAGGCCAACAGTTTTTTGGGCCCCAGCTTAGAAAGGTGAAAGCAAGGCTAAGGCAAGTAAGCAAGCAACAAAATCCCTGCAGGGTGCGGCCATTAACGCTTTGGGGGGAGAAAGACCGTTTGTGGAAAAAGCAAAGCAGACTTGACGCTCTCATCGATTCAAAGAACTCTGCTGTTGATGCTGCGGCCGTTACTACTGTGGAAAAGAAGTCCGCCATTGAGCAATGAAGACAGTTGCAGTCTTTTTTATACCATAGCTTATAAGACCGGGGTAATTCCCCGACCATCGCAGAGCGTCCACCACGACAGTTACGGGTGTGTTGCAAAAGGGACTAGGCAGATGCATGGAATTTGCATCTTCGACTACTGGCACTTTCACTATCTTCCA